CGTATCCTCTTTGTGAGAGTAAACCAAACACTCAACCTCAACTGTTTATTTATCATTTGCAAAGCTTGAAGAGGCTAAGGAAAGAATACTTGTAAAGCCTAAAGAGGTTTGTCAAAGAATACTCACTGCTATCCAGAAGTGGCTGAGTAAATAATACTAGCATTGATGAGTGAAGTCAACAGGTCAGGAGTTGGTCGATAATACTCACTGAGATCTAGAAGTGGCTGAGCAAAGAATACTAGCGTCAGCAAGTAAGGTTGACGAACCAGGAGTGGTTGAGAATACTTGGGCAACCAGAAGTGGTTTAAGAATACTAGCGTCTGCGAGTGAAGCTGACGAGCCAGAAGTGGTTGAGAATACTTGGGACCAGGAGTGGTCGTGACCTGGATGGTCTATAATACTCACTACGAGCCTGAAGAGACTGAACAAACAATACTTGTACTTAATTGATTATCTAGTGAAACCCTTCGATTGAACAAGATTGGACGTAATATATTGAACCAGTATAAAAATAGTTGCACTATTTTTACATTTCAGACATACGTTTATTTGAGTGATTTAATATACTAAAAACTTCATCTAATACTTATCGTCTATTAAAACTATCTTTAGACGAAAACTATAATTGCTCAAATGATTATCCTAAAAGAACAGTTTTGTCCATGAAGTATTTTTCTCTTAGTAGACGATGAAACTCCCAGACGCAAAATGATTTTGGTAAACCAACCCTGGGTTGTTTCTATTCAAGCATTGACTAATAATATTTTTACTGGACGAAAGAGAGCCTTATTGCGAAAAGATTTTAAAATTTCTTTGTTCACATACACACATATTCAACCCTATCTTCTATGTGTTTTTCACTAAACTTCACATATGCATGTGATGTCAGCAAAATCACATCAATGTACATCGTCCTAAGGCACACAAAGAGTAGTCTAGGAAAACATGTTATGTCATACCTCATTGCACTCTACATTAGGAGGAGATACATCAAGGCAGCTTAAGACAACAATGTTGTGCAAGTTTCACTCCGTGCACACAAACAAATAAAATTGGGGCTCCCAAATCTAGTTGTCTCCAAGGTTATGAATCCTCAAGCTTTTACACAAGGTGGACTTTTCCTAAAAACATATTTTATCGTACCTATCAAAACACTTATGCATATGATGCATGTCACACACAAGACCTGATGCAATTATCATGTTCTCACATTATCACAATATCAAAAGTACACATTACACACATTACTCACATCACTACTAGGCCAACATGTCTAGACTTTAACCTTGTTAAGTCTCAACTTAAACTTCATGTCACGTAATCATCGCATGGTTTACATATAGAAGCACATTACATTGTATCCCACAAGAGACAAATGTTCGTAGTTCAAACACAATAATGCCCATAACATCATCTAATAACACCTCAAGATAGAATAATTATGAAATCACCTAATCATATGATAATACCTCAATCATAGTTACTAATAAATCAACATTAAACTAAGAATTTAATTAATAATTTAACTAATCTCGCAATATTATTGATATCGTAGATTAATTCCTTAGGCATTATTATCACTAAAACACCTCAAGTTATTTACAATCAACTCACATCATAACTTGTTCATAATTGTTCTTTCTCATGATTTCTCTTTCCTATACATTAATATAAGTATCTCAAATCATTCATAAGATCAAAAACTTAAAGAATAAAGTCGTTCACCATCACAATTCACAAATTGCATTTCCATAACTTAATCTTTTATGACCTCATGTGGTCCAAACACAATATCTAGAGTTATATTCATGCAATCAAATTGATCTTAATTTTTGTTAGAAAATTAAGACAATTATCCATAACTTTTATGTTGACCTAGAGTTGATTTTTCCATATACTATTTTCTCTCACTAATTTAATCATAATTATCCATAATTACAAAAGTGTAGTGTTTTAACCTCAATCTAACAACTTGACTTACTCTCACTAATTTGATTATAATTTAAGTTGTAAAATGATATCATTAAAATTTAATATAAAAAATAAGTTATTGATATAAATTATTAAATAATATATATGTCGTCCCTAAATGGTTTATACTACAATTTGTCATGGGAGGTACCTCAAGTCTCAATCAAGCAAGTAAATCTGTCCCTCCATAGCTATGCTCTCAGCCAGCGCTACTTGTACTCACATTCACCGCACTACTACCACAACATGCGTAGTCATTAACTTCCTCTCTTTCATTATCTTCTTCAATGACAAAACGAGCATTTTCACGTTCTTCCGCACTATCTTGCAACTGCAGCGCAAACTCAAGCATCCAAACGATGTCGTTCATCGACGGCCTCTGCGTCCCATCGTCTAACAAACAACTCACTCCAGTCTCACAAAACTTCTTAAGGCATTCCGGCGCGATGCTCCCCTTCAACGTGGGGTCCACAATCTGGGCCATAATCCCGCTTTGGTAACAGCTCCTGGCCCAATTAGCTAGTGACACCTGTTCCATCTGGGCGTTGCGGATCAGAGGTGGCCTAGCGCACAATATCTCAAACAACACAACTCCAAAGGAATACACGTCAGACTTTTCCGTCAAACGGTACCGTTTATAATACTCTGGGTCCAAATACCCGAAGCTGCCCTTCACAGCGGTGCTCACATGGGCCTTGGACATGCCCATGGGCCCAATTCTAGAAAGTCCGAAGTCGGAAACCTTGGCAACCCATTTATCATCCAACAAGATGTTGCTGGTTTTCACATCGCGGTGGATAATCATGTGCTTCGCGCCTGTGTGGAGATAATGCAGCCCACGCGCCGCGCCAATGCATATGTGCAACCGTTGCTTCCACGAGAGAGGGGGGTTATCGGTGTTGTAGAGATGCTCGCGGAGGTTGCCACGTGCCATGAAATCGTAGATTAGTATCATCTCCTTGTTGTCGTTGCAGTAGCCGATGAGGGAGACGAGATGGAGGTGGCGGAGCTGCGAGAGCTTCTCGATTTCGTTCATGAACTCTTGTGCCCCCTGCTGCGAATCCGGTTTCAGGCGCTTGATGGCCACCGGAGTGAGACCGCCGTCGATGTAGCCTTTGTTCACGTGGCCGAATCCCCCGACGCCGATGATCAGGACCTCGTCGAAATTGTTGGTGGCGTATTTGATGTCCATGAGGGAGAAGCGGCGACAGAGATCGGAAGGTAGGGAGTACTTCTGCGTGGTGCTTGACTTGGATTTGTAGTCCTTGCTCTTCGTATTAGTGGTTCTCTTGCGTCGGAAGAACACGACGAGGAAAACCACAAAGGAGATCAAAACGACGCCGGATACCACCCCCGCGACGATGCCAATTATCGTCGTTCCGCTTACGCTGCTGCTGTTTCCCTTTTGGCCGGGTATGTTGCTCTGTGGAGTCTGAAGTGGGTCCGGGTTAGGTCCGGCGAGGTTGTTAGACCCGGCCTCGCTGATTTTGAATATCTCCACACCGTTCAAGAACGGATCACTGTATCTCGTAAAGCTACCATTTTCATAAGGATGCATTTGGAGGGAAAGATTAACCCTTTTGTGAGCATTATTGTTGGGAATCAAAACGGCGTAGTTTTTGTACACAGCGAGACCTTTCTGATTCTGGCTCCATTTCATAACATCTGCGTCGTCCTCGACCAACTTGGTCGCTATGTAAATAAAGAAAACCCTGTCACCGATGTTAGTAATATTGGGGTCAAGTTCGCAAAAGTGGAGTCTGAGCATGTAAGTGAAACCAGAATCAATGGGAAACTCCCAAGTGAGATTGCTGATTTTGTTGAGAGTGGCGTTTGAGCCCATGTCACGTGCTGTTCTGTACAGCTCCTTGGGTGCCACGTAATCAGGATTCACGGTTATGGTCCTATTCACGGTTATATCAGTATTCTGTGAATTTTGTGTCATTAAATAATCTTGATCGTGCCCAGCCCAATTCCTTAACAAACCGCTGTCATTTCGTGGCGAGATTGCTTGCCCTCCAACTTTGATTCTATACTCTGTCCCCAGCGCAAAGCTCGTTCCCACACTGTACAACGTGTTACTTCCCACCTGCGTGAATCCTACGTCATTTTGTGACGTGTAATAGAGATCGGTTGGCATGGACAATACCTCGATTCCATTTATGAAAGCGTAGGAGTTTGGATGCGACGGAGTGAAGCTGAGGTTGAGCCTATCACCCGTGTCCACGTTGACCACATATTCTTTGAATATGGTGTCGGTGCTTTCTGCGTCTGCGTTTAGAGAGGCATTGAAAGCGCCGAGGAGGGTGAATTGGTTTGATTGAACAGTGAAGGAGGCGTGGGAGCGGGCAAAGGAAGGATAAGAAGCTGGGTAGAAGAAGAGGCGAAGGAATTTAGGACCTGCAGAGACAGGGAAGGAATAACTGAAATTGGAACGGGACAAGCGTGCTGTGGTGAAGGGGATTTCATTTATAGAAGATTGTGTTGTTGGAGTAGCTGAAACGGTGCCGTCTTGACTAGATAAGTACTTTGTATCTAAGTCCCCCGTCCATGTCCTTTCTCCGTCGAAGGATCTTCCGGTGGTGCCGCAACTGAGGGTGAAAACTTCATCTGGGGTGTACGCTTGGAGATGTGTGGAGAGGTGGAGAAGGAGGAAGAGTGTTACGGAGGTGATACTCATGGTTTGCGGTGAAACACTGCAAAGTCAGTGAAGTTGTGAAGAATGAACGGAGACTTATTGTGATCATTGTCTGTAGTAGTTGCTAGGAAGCACAAGAGAAAGGAACTTCCAGTGTTTGTTTCGTGAAAGACGACTGCGACGAGTCAAGTGGCAAATGTATGCAGTTGATAGATTTCAAACTTCCACCAAATTATTGGTTTTTATTTACATATTGAGTGACAAAAACTGTTCTATTTCCTTGTAGAATTATGGTAGTAACTACTTTGTCTTTGCTCCAAATAACGAGGGATGGAAGAGAATGTGTCAGAATAAGCAACGCGCTGGCAAGTGTGACCGCATGTAACCAATGTGGTATGTGAATCTGCTGGGACTAGAAGACGAATTTAGTTAAAGTCAAGTAACTAATTAGACTATTATAGATCAAAATATTAATTTATTCTCTATAATTTAGTTTATTTTACTTTTATTTACTTTATTTTTTTAATTTTAAATAACTTTTTAAAATTTATGTATCTATCATTTTCAATTTTTTTAATCTCTATAATTAGAAATAAATTTTTATATTTTTATATTTATAATTCTTTTTAATGATAAGTTTGCTGGTAAATCTTCTGTTTGAAGGTGTACGATACATTTAACCAATAATACTAAGATAAGTAGGCAGGGATGACAATGGGGCCCAATGGAAGCGGGTAATAGTAGACTTGCCCTCGCCTTGCTGAATAAAAATTGACATCATATTCGCGCGGGTATCTATGAATTTCTTGAATACTCATGAATATCCATAGATATTTATAATTTTTTTAACAAATTAAAAAAATTATATTACTAATAATTTTAAGTTTATATTTAATGTCATTGAAATATTAAGATAAGTAGGCACTAATAAGACAAAAATTGACTGAAAACCTAAAGAGTTGGTAACTAAATTAATTATGACAATTATAGAAAAAATTTAAAATATGAAAAATTAGAAATAATGATAGAAAATTGATGAAAATATAATATCAATTTTAGATGAAGTAAATAAAATTGCAGATTTTAGTTGTAATAATTAATAAAGAATTAAAAGAAATTAATAATATAAAGTAATAAACATTATAAAATATTAGTCAAGAGAAAGATACAAACGAAAATGATAAAATAAATAAAATACATGAATATTAAAATAATTAGAAGAAATTTTAAAAAAATAATCAATGTATTAAAAAAATAAATTAGATGAAATAATTATATCTAAACTAAAAAATATAAAAATAAAATTGGAAAAAAGTTTAACAAAACCTATTTATAGAAGAAATTCAACAATTACTTGAACAACTAAAAATTATAGAAGAAAATAAACAAGTTCAAGAAGTAAAAAATATAAAAGATACAGAAAATGAGAAAATAATTCTAAATTATTCTACTTTTGAATCAGAAAATGAAGAAGTTAAAGTAAAATTTGAAGCAGGACAATCAAGTAATCCTAATAAAAGAAAAGAATATATTATTATGATAATGGTGCATGGGATAAATATGAAGAAAAAAACTTTATATAATAAAGGATATGCTAGAAAATTAAGAAGGAAAATGACAAAAAAAAAATATACCTAAGGAATTTAAACCAAGATATCAAGGAATAGGACGAAATAATATACTATATTTAAACTATGTCAATAATAAAGAATAAATATTAGCACAATGACCAAATGAAATAACTTTGCTAATAACGACATGTGAAAAACTGAGAGAATTAGGAGTAAATGTGAGAAATTTTATAATGGATAAAATCTTTAGAAATGTATTAAAATACTTATCATCAATATAAAATGAACAATGACATAATATAGAAAGAATGGTAAATATACAGCCTAAGATTTAGTAAAAATTAAAGCAAATTTAATACATCAACACTTTATTGGTTATAATATTTTGAAAAAAAAAATATGGGCGAAATAGATAATTTTATTGGTGAACACCAAAAATATTATTTTCAACTAAATGATCAACCAAAAGAAATGTATAAAGAATTATCTTTTGATAAATTACCATAACTTTTAAATACTAAAATTAAAAAATTTTGAAAAAAGAAAACCTATGGAAGTTGGTAATACACCATGAGGAATTACATAAATACTTTATTCTACTTCAAGAGAACAATGTATAAAGAGAGAAACAATTAGATAATTAAATAGAGGAACCAATGCAAGTTATATAACATCCTTCTTTTTAAAAATAAATAAATAAATGATGAATGAATTAGAATAAATTAAGATTTATGAGAGAAATAATTTATTAATTAAAAATTAATAGGGATAAAGATTTTTGTCAAGGTTTGGGTCCAGAGACTAATTCAAAATGGAAAAATCGAGAAGGTTAAGTCAAAAAGTATATCTTGAAAAACCTAGAATGCTCATAGGAAGAGACCTATAAGAGAACACTAGGGAGGCACAAACTAACGACAAAAGCCATTAGAGAAGAGTCATTCCACGAGAATCGTCATTCTAGGTAGGGAGAGTGAGATTATTGAGTCTTTAGGCATATATAAGGAATAAAGGTAGAGATGAGTGTTCCCTTAATCCCTTAGGTTATTTATATTGATGGAGATTCCTTGAGTATAATGTTTATTGAAAATGTATTATTATTTTATGCTAAGGTTCTTATGCATTTTAAATTGATCAAATTGATATTGAGTTTGTGTAGTCCGAGGGTTAGAGTTAGTATGTATGAATTTTGAAAGTTTTGGATTGAAATCTGTTAGTTTGAGGATGTAGTAACGATGAATTGAAATAATTGGTGTATTTATATGAAAGTTTGAGGAAAGGATAATTATTCAAATAATTATTTTGTACATTTTAAAGGATAATTAATGTATCAAGAAGACATACTAAGACTATGAATTAAGAAAAGTAATTGATGTATAATGTTGTAAAAATTGTATATGTATTATTGATGTTGTTTGAAGAATCTATTTGAGAAGTAATAAATATTGTAATAGTATATAAATATATATAGTGGTGGATAATGATGTGTAAGATTATGAAATTTGATGTATTAAAATCTGTGATGATGTACAAAAAGTTATGTTGAAATACCATTGAATGATTACAACGGATTGTGATCATGAAGTTTGATCAGTTAATACAATGACATATGATAAGTTGTTTTGGAATATTATTATATTAATGTGTTGAATGGTTGAGATGTGATGATGTGTGTTGTGATGAATATGACGAAGATGAATTATTAAGATGTGATAATGCATATTATGATGAGTACTTTGATGAGAAGAGATGAATAATTCCCATGTTGTAGACTAGCACTCGAGGAGATGAATCATGCATATTGTATGGTTATAATGTGTGTATTGTGTGACACCTTTTACACTAAAATGCCATAAATACTCAAATAAATAAAATTGAATAGAAATATTTTTCATAAATAAAATCAAGCATCTTCAACATAAGAGATATCACATTTTTAACAAAATAAAAACCAATAGAAGTTCAAATGAAATCTATTATAAGAAAACTAACAATTGTCTCAGAACATGACAAAAGAGGACAATTTCTAACTAAGTCTCAATGTCACATCCTATCATAGCATAACCCATTTATGAGAAGTAAGTCTCGTCACCAACATCTTTAACATCATATTAAAGATTACCTGCAATAATATACAAGAAGAACAACACAAATAATTACGAGAGTGAAAAATATCTCACTCTTTCTCACAACATAGACTATAGTCGAATAGTCAAACATAACCAAGAGAAAAAGCAAAAGCATAGTAATAAACATGTTACAATTATCGATAACATAATAAGCCATTACAATAAATCATTCATATGTGTAACTAGATAACAAGATACAAGATATAAGCATAACAATGATATGAACATGTTACAACCGCTTACATATAACAAGGTATAGTTTTCAATTGACATTATATCATGAATTCACATAATAATAACAAGATAATACAATGATTCATTCACATGTACTATGCAATGGACATAGACTGCATTTAGTCATGCATATGGTGCCATTCAAAATCATCACATAGTGTATTGCCTCAAATAACACACAAAGCAGTCGGGTTACACCCTAAACACACTATCACTAGGAGGATATACACAGAGTGTTAGGACCTCTTGGTTTTTTCTTTGCATGGTCTCAATGCATCGTAGGATTTCCATGGTAGATGGTGTCATAAGCTTAGGATTTTGTCTCTACATTTGTGTTCATAGTTTGGTTTCGAGTGGAAACCACATATAGTTGAACTATTGTTTCACTTTATTCTCAAGGTGGGCACCAAATGTTGTTATTTGATTCTACGGGGTTCTTCAACAGATGGAATGGTGTACTTTGCTCTATACCACTTATGGGATTACTTGCAAAGACACTCTAATACTCAAGTTAGAGAAGAATTTAGGTTTAAAGTGTGATTAAGGTTAAAATGAGATACCTGATACACCTTAAATAAATGCTTATTTCTTATAATTAAGTTTAGAGATTTGGTTGCTTGAATTAGAAGATATTCTTATTTACTAGACAAAAATATTGTGCTTGATTACGATAATTCAGAAGATATTCATGCCAAAATAACTCACTAATTGTTATGAGTTGAGTACTTAGAGTTTCACTTTATGGGAATGGACTGAAGGCCCAATGGAGGTCAATGGGAGGAGGAGGTCGGCTCAAGACGAATAAGCATTCGGTACATTTCATAATATATCATCATATTATATATTAAGTGAATTTGTTATAGTTAAATGTTAACTTTTTATATCTTTCATTATTAATTCAATTTGAATTTCTTATAATTAACAATGTTGAAAAGGTTAGTTTTACCTAAAAAATTATTTGGTGTTTAATTATTTTAATTTATAAATTGTATTTTTTACTTTATTCATATTAATTATTTTATTTAATTGTAATGACTTAAGCATAAATTATTATATTTATAATTTTTTTTTCTCACAGTTATGTTAAAAAAACATTTATTTTGAATTATATGACAAATAATAGTAACAAATATACTCATAAAAAAATAAATATAATATTACTAAATAGGTTTAGTACCTATATGGACTAACTTCAATTTATCCAACTTTAATTGGCTCATTGGATTGGGACAACTTAGCCTTATCCTTTTTTGGTCTAAAGTTATAGAATTTAACCTAATTTGACCTATCGGACTAACAAGTTAACTTACCAAACTAGATCTTTTTATATATCTACTGATTAATAAATATAATAAATTTAAATATATTGTTCAAATTTAATGACATGAGTGATAAAATATCAATGCATGGAGGACTATACATAAATAAATGTTATTTAAGAGAACACAATTAAAATCAATCATAAATGATTGAAAAAGTTTATTAATTTTATTGTTTTTTATTCAAATCATATCATTTTATTATTATTTTTTAATTGTATTGTTTTCTTTTAGAAATCCACATGTTTTTAAATCTCATAAAATTCTTTTAAATCTTATAAAATTACAAGATATAAATCCATCAAATTTTATATTACAAAATCTTGAGAATACAAATCTTTTATAAAAATCCTAATATTATTATATTTCTATAAAATTATTTAAAAAATCATAAAAAATATTATATTTCTACAAAATCATTTAAAAAAATCATAAAAATCATTATACTCTTACAAATTCATTTAAAATCTGTCATACTTCTTGTAAAAATAATCTTAATACAAACCTTGATCCATTCTCCAAGCTAAAAATCATTGTAATACTTCCAGAGCGTTAGATTGGGCTAATTCGATTCGCTCAACGCGGCTTTGGCTCCATAATCTCAGAGAAAGGATTCCATGACAGCAACGAATTATAACTATCCTTATAACTATAGCTATGCTCTCCGCTAGTTGTAGTCGTGGCACTCAACTCACTCGTGAACGTTTTGTCACTAATTTCATCTCCTTTTTCATTTTCACTCTGCTCCGCACTCTCTTGCAGTTGCAGTGCAAACTCCAGCATTCCAACGACGTCGTTCATCGACGGCCTCTGCATCCCATCCTCTAACAAGCAACTCACCCCAATCTGGCAAAACTTCTTGAAGCACTCGGGTGCAATCATCCCCTTCAATGTGGGGTCCACAATTTGGGCCATGGTCCCACTTTTGTAATTGTGTCTGGCCCAATTAGCTAGTGACATCTGTTGTGTCTCATCGTTACGGATCAGAGGCGGACGAGCGCACAGTATCTCAAACAACACCACTCCAAAAGAGTACACGTCAGACTTTTCTGTCAAACGGTAACGTTTATAATATTCTGGGTCTAAATACCCGAAACTACCCTTCACTACGGTGCTGACGTGGGACTTATCTACGCCGGTGGGTCCTACTCTGGAAAGCCCAAAGTCGGAAACCTTGGCCACCCACTTGTCATCCAACAAGATGTTGGTGGTTTTGACGTCGCGGTGGATGATCGTGTGCTTCGCGCCTGTGTGGAGATATTGCAGTCCACGCGCTGCGCCGATGCAAATCCGCAAGCGCTGCTTCCAGGAGAGAGGAGGGTTATCGGTGTTGTAGAGATGCTCACGGAGAGTGCCACGTGGCATGAAATCATAGACCAGGATCATCTCCTTGTTATCGTTGCAGTATCCAATGAGGGAGACGAGATGGAGGTGGCGGAGCTGCGAGAGCATCTCGATCTCGTTCATGAACTCGTGCGCCCCCTGTTGCGAGTCCGGTTTGAGGCGCTTGATAGCGACTTGGGTGAAACCGGCGTCGATGTAGCCCTTGTAGACATGGCCGAACCCCCCGACGCCCACCATGAGGACGTCGTCGAAGTTGTTCGTGGCGGATTTGATCTCGACCAGGGAGAAGTTGCGGCAGCGTTCGCAAGGTAGGGAAGAGTTCTTCGTGTTTGTTGACTCAGTCGTTTCAGTGGTTTTCTTGCGTCCGAAAAACACGACGAGGAAAATGACAAAGGAGATCAAAACGATGCCAGATACCACCTCCGAGATGACAGCGATTATCTTGGTTTCGCTGCCGCTGCGGCTCTTTTCCTTTTGGACGGGTACGTTGCTCTGTGGAGTCTGAATCGGGTCTGGGTTAGGTCCTGCGAGGTTGTCGACGCTGATTTTGAATATCTCAATACCGTTCAAGAACGCGTCGTCATATATTGAAACCCTACGATCATAATAAGAGTGCATTTGGAGGGAGAGATTAACCTTTTTCTGAGTATCATTTGTGGGAATTAAAACGGCGTAGTTTCTGTGTACAGCGAGACCTTTCTGATTCTGGCTCCATTTCATAACATCAGCTTGGTCCTCAGCCAACTGGGTCGCTATGTAAATAAAGAACACCCTGTTACCGACGTCAGTAATACTGGGGTCAAGTTCGCAAAAGTGGAGTCTGAGCATGTAAGTGAAGCCAGAATCAACGGGAAACTCCCAAGTGAGGTTGCTGATTTTGTTGAGAGTGGCGTTTGTGCCCATGTTACGCGCTGTTCTGTACAGCTCCTTGGGTGCCACGTAATCAGGATTCACGGTTATGTTCTTATTAGCCAAGTCAGCTGGTAGATCATTATTCTGTGAATTTTGTGTCATTAAATAATCTTGATCGTGCCCAGCCCAATTCCTTAACAAACCGCTGTCATTTCGTGGTGAGATTGCTTGCCCTCCAACTTTGATTCTATACTCTGTCTCCAGCGCAGCGCTGCTTTCAACGCTATATAGCATGTCGTGTCCCACGAGCGTGAACCCTACGTCATTTGGTGACGTGTAATACAGATCGCTGGGCATGGATAATACCTCGATTCCGTTGACAAAAGCGTAGGAGTTTGGTCGCGATGGAGTGAAGCTGAGGTTGAGCCTATCACCACTTTCCACGTTGATCACATATTCTTTGAAGATGGTTTCCGTGTTTTGAGCGTCGGCGTTCAGAGAGGCGTTGAAGCCATCGAGGAGGGTGAATTGGTTGGAGTGAACAGTGAAGGATGCATCGGTGCGGGGAAAAGAAGGGTAAGAAGCTGGGTAAAAGAAGAGACGAATGAATTTAGGACCTGTAGTGACAGGAAAGGAGTAGTTGAATTGGGAACGGGACAAGCGCGCTGTGGTGAAGGGGACTTGATTCATAGAAGGAGATTGTGTCGTTGCTTTGGCTGAAACAGTGCCGTCTTGATGAGACAAGAGCTTTGTGCCTGCGTCCCCCTCCCATGTCCTTTCACCGTCTGAGAATTTTCCGATGGTGCCGCAACAGATGGTGAAACGGTTCTCAGGGTTGTATGCTTGGAGGTGTGAGGAGAGATGGAGAAGGAGGAAGAGTGTTACGAAGGCTGTGACACTGTTGAACCTCATGGTTTGTGGTGAGTGAATTTGTGAAGAATGATTGAAGACTTGTTATGATCATTGGTAGCTTGTAGTAGTTGCTGGGAAGCGTGAGAGAAAGGAACTTTCGGTGTTTGTTAGTGAAAGACCACTTCCATGAGTCAAGTGGCAAATCACAATGCATGTAGTTGACAGATTTCTACGTATTTCAAATTTCCACAAACTTGTCCTTTTTTATTTGCATATCGACGAAATTGTACTAGTTTGTCGCAAAAGGTGGTCTTATTAGAATAGTCTCGTACAATTATAATAATCATCCTAACTACTTTGACTTTGTTCCAAATAACTAGGGATGGAAGAGCATGCGTCAGAATAAATGTCGTCGCACAAGTGTGATTTCATGTAACAGTATGGCAGGTGGATCTGCTGGGAGTGTGAGAGTAATTAATGTCATGGACTTTATTGTCTTTGGCTGTAATGCCCTTCAGATGACCAAAAACATATGCATGTGTATTTCAATTGAAATTTTGATTGAAGATTTTGTGATTTTTTTTTTTTTTTTAGTATTTTTCTTCTCTTCATAGTCATAGCAATTTGTTCCTCTCTTTTTATTTATTTATTTATTATTTTTATTTTTTATAATTAAATTCATTTCTATACGGTAGGTTAAACAAATAACCATCAATTATAGCTTTTAGCAAGATAAGGGTGGAACCAATCTCATCTAAACAGCTATCAACACACATTTGAATTTTGAGACTGAGAAGGCAATATGTACTGTATACAGAATTTTACAAGGCAGATATTACTTTCAGGTATGATGCCAATGCCGATGATCTTATAGTTGCATTGTGGGCAGCACAGTGCATATGTTGTGAACAAGATTGATCATATATCTGTGTTGTGAACAAAATGAATACATAATTCACAACATAGATAACCTTAATTATTTATGTTGCCAACGGATTGATCATATCACAAATGAGGAACTGGAGATCTTCCTTATTGCTGGATTAATTAGGTAATTTCTCCAAATCAAATCCTTTTTACCTTTTTTGTTGAACAAAGGAAAACCATAAAAAATTTGTACATGCTAATGTGGAGGCAGTTAGAAGTTTCAATTAGTCCGCGATGGATTAAAAAATTAAGATCATATAGCGATACAATTAATAGTAAAATTTGATTAAATTTAATATTTATATTTTTATAAATTGATCGATCTAAATCACAAAATAATAAATATGATAATCATAACTTATTTTTATAAACATGATATAATCGTATCTTATTTTTATAGATATGGTAATCATATTTAATTTCATATTAGAGTATCAAATGTAAGTTACTTAATAACGTATCTTATTTTATTTTCTTAAATCTTACACTGTCACATTATATTTAAATAACTCATGAGTAATTCACTATATTTTTACTCAAATGGTAAAAATTTAAGTAATTTTTACTAAATCTTTTTTTGTATGATTTATCGGCTTTTTTTCTAGTCGTGACGGCTTGAGTGATCCTAGTCTCACGTGTAACAGGTGTTTTTGAATAATGTATCGGCTTTTGAACTATAACAATGTTTGTTTTATATTTCTATTCTTTACTTTCCTTCCATTACGAATATATTTATTTTCCATATCTAAAGATAAATATGATAAATCTAAAAAATAAATTAAGTGTACTCTTTTATCATTATAATAAATATTTCTATCAAAATAATAAAAATTATCAATAAAATTTAATATAACTTTTTTATACATACTTTTAATATATTTTAATTCAATTCTATATTTTTTTTACACATATTTAATCATATTTAACAGTTTAATTTAAAAAAATAAACTTAATTAATTTTAATACCCATTAATTGATGTTAAAATTAAGTTTCATTTTTTTAACATCTGAATGTCTTGTTATTATTTTAATTTTAACATAATTAATTTAATTTACTAAAATACAAAACAAATTGTGACTTGTGTGTGCACAACTAAGATAAAGATAGAATCGAGAATTGTGCTACAATTTTGGGTTGAAGTCTTTATTTTCCTTCATGGAAGTTTTTTTCTTTTAGGTTTTTATTTTCATTTTTACTTTTTTTTTTCTTTTTTCAAATTTCAGTTCCAATTTCACAATCTCTCTCTCAACTTGTGAGTTTATATTACTTTGGTTTGGATTCGACCAATCCTATTCTTTTATGAAGGTAGGGTTTCATGTCACCTTTTATATTCTCAATACCTCAATTTTTTTTCGATTCGATGAAAGCTCACATTTTCACTTCAACTTTGTGCTCTTTAATCAAGATTTTTCTATTTAATTATTCGATTTAACAGAAAGCACTTCAAGAAATTGATTTTAGGTGCATAAGTTTTTCGATTTTGTTTTATAAATGCATTAGTGTTAGAGATTTTACATGCTACAAAGCTTAAAAGCTTAAAATTTAGAATGATTTTTTTCATTTGTATTTGTTGCTTGAAAGGATTCAAACCTAGGTTGTTTTCTCCTAATTTAAAGATATTTCAGAGAGAGGATCTAATTCAAGCTAGAGGAATTGATTCACTGCTAGTTGTTAGAAAAGATGGTCTAACCAAGAGGGGGTGAATTGGTTGATTGAAAGTTTCTTACGTAACTATCATGGTTTTGAAAAACTTTTTCTAAATCTTTCCAAAGAAATGTTTTGATCTATAGCTGTATATAGTATACTTAGTTCAAATTAAATGCTATTCAAAATTCACTTAAGTATTTATACAATGTTTACGTTGTACAACACATATCAACAAACAACAAGCATAGAAATAGAAATGTAAGAATATAAGGTCAAGTATAGGAAGAGAGAAAAATGTACGGTCAATTTATACTAGTTCAATCACATCCACTTGTGACCTATATCCAATCGCCAATCAATCCTATTGAGATTAAGAAGTTTTACAAACATAATATCACATGCAATACACTTCTACAATATTAAAGAAACTACTTCTCGCACCCTAATAAGCACTCAATTGTAGCACCCCAGTACAAGATTCTCCCTTCTTAAGAAACCTCTTTAAGAAAGAAATCAATATAGAAGTTTAAGGAACGAATCCACCTAATGTATAGAATATATCAGAGTAGGTGAATCAACCAAGTAGCTTAATCTTTCACTCTATGAACATGATGATCAATTCAATTCTTGAAAACTTTCTTGAGGTTACCACAAACGTTAAAAAACCTCTTATTGTAAGGAAAAATGTATCTTAAAGAGTATTTTCGAAAAAGTTATCCCAAAGAATCAAGTCTCTATTCTAAATATGAAAAATGATATATATATATATATATATATATAAGTTATCTAACTGAAATAATTGATTATTTACATAGATAATCAATTATTTTGTTATTAGCAATTCTTGAAATCAACCAATAATAGTTGAATCGATTATTTTGAACAATAATTGATTATTCCAAAAATTAGCTTCTAAAATAATCAATTATTTTCCTGAATAATCGATTATTTTCTTGAATAATCGATTATTACAACAATTGTTCATTAGGTAACTGAAAATAGAGCAAATTCTTATGTGAAAACTCAATATCTCAATTTTTCATACTATTTCTTTTTACAATTCAATTCGTATACTTATTTTAACCTTCAATCATCATGTAGACAAAGATAAAAAGCTAAGTTACATACTAAGCAAAGCACACAAGCAACAAGAATTTAAAACACTTAAAACAAAATACAACTTGCACTTTTTTCTCCTAAGAGGCTAAACAAAATACAATGTTCATTTATAATCATCAAAACTATAAAATATCATGTCTTCTTGATCAACATTTGCTACAGAAGATAAGTCTTTCACTAGCTCGAAGCACTCAATTACAATTTGATTTTTGTGACATGATTGATTTAAACAGGTTTGCTCCTTTACGACTGGGTGGTAGACTATTAAATTGTGTTGTTTGGGTTATATAAAAAAACCAAGGTGAAGGGTGAACTTGTTGATACCTTTATGTGATTTCTTAAATTTTTGCAATGTCCTTAGAAGATAGCAATAAATTTTTTAATTAGGAGTGTTATGATCATTAAACATTTGTCTTATTTCATGTTCAAAATGTAATGAATATGTAAGTGGTCATGAGATATCAAATATTATTGTAGTAGAGCAGTTGAACAATTAGAAAATAAAACTAGACTGATGTATAAAAAAAATGATAGGAGAAACTGCTAGCAAAATCGTGGCCTTAAATATAACTCCCATCACTTGTTATCTAGATGATTTGCTTATGTGAAACCTAAAGAGTCTAGGTTTTTCTCCTCTTTATTATCTTTGAGTTATAACAGAGTTGATTCATTATGAAACTAACTTCTATGTATGGTTTCATGCATGTGTTCTACATGGAATTTGGAACATTTGGTAGCAACTAAACTTGGGATTTACCAAGTTCTAAGGTTTTAGGTGGCATGATTAAAACAAGCACAATATTGTTTAAATTTAAACTCATTGTCACAAATCTATCTAAATTGTCTCATATGTAATCTCCCCATAATCTTGTATGTTCATGCTAGTTATTATTTGTTTGAAATTATTTTCCTTTTTCCCTATGAATTATTTTTCTCCCCCTTTTCCCTGCACACATATATATATTCACACTTTTTTTATATTTTTATTCCTACAATTACGTTTGAATCAACTTTGATAACTTATGGTTTTTGATTCTTCACTTTTTTATATGCATTATATTTGGATGAGTACAACTATCTGCGTATTGTTTTCTTTGACAGTTATTGAAGGGAGATGTATGATGTCATGATGTTTTTGAGTTATTAGGAAATGCAATGATAAAAATTGATTCCGCTACGATGTTCTAAGGTGTTATTATGTGGAATGAAAGGTTGTGTAAGGTTGTACAATGCTATGTGGTAAAATTGGTTCATGTACATGCTACATGGTGTAACGTAGTTATTGATTCATATATATGCTTAGGAAGGATATATATGAAAGTTTAAATGGGTATTCTTACATTATTTGAGATGCATGTATGATGATATGAGGATAGATAACCTTATGGATTAATTAGTGAACGTTGTGTGTTTAGTAAGATTGACCCTAAAATGAGATATCATCATATTGGAGTCGAGGGTGAGAATATATCCAAGAAAGCTTTAGGCTAAGTTATCTGAGTATGATTTTTT